CGTTCGAAGTGCCAAAAGAATAATAATAAGAAGAAACTTTCGAAATACAATAGGCCTTCGCAGCGCTTTGCTGCTCGGGCCTAATAAATCCTTTATTTTCCTGCAGGGCCATTATATTTTTTATTTTTCTCCCTCACGGCTGTTTTAGTCCTGTTTACAGACTCTTAAAGGGATCCATCATAACTTCAACCAATATACTTAACTTGAGAAATATTTATTTACAGTTTAATGACAACACTGTAAAAATAATCTAAGCCGTTTCAAATATTTCCATAAAATATTTTTAGACAGATGTTGCCATGTTGTTTGAGCTTCAATGCATTCTGGGAAAATGGCGTACGCTAGTTCCTGTAGTGCTACTCACTCTATTACAGATGGAGTAATGTAACTAAAGTAATCCCTCCCTGGGATTATTAAAGTATTTCTGCCGCCATTTTTCTGTTTACTACAGTGTGTTGAATTCATGTTAATGTGGGTTTAAAGACATTTCAATTAGGCGGTAATATAAAAGAAAAAAAAGTCTAATCAACCTAAACTTTTGCGAACACCATGCAGTACCTCTGTGGACCCTCTAGGGGTCGCGGACCCCCTGTTGAAGACCTCTGCTTTAAACCTTTCCAGTTTGAACCAGAATGTGTTGAAAATGGTGAGAATGTAGAAATCACAGGAGGAAGAGGGAAGATTTGTCCAAAGAAGTTTGATGTTTGTGCTATTGCTGCTAGCAGATGCTAACCCAGATGGAGAGCTATGTGACCGTTTACGGTTAGCATCAAGATTAAAACATTTTCTCCTTTTACAACGATGTGCACCGACTGAAGGATGCCTCAGCGTCACTTTAAACGGCCGCTCATCTTTAGATTTGATTTCGAATTCATGTTAGCCTATGCTAATGCTTTTAGCGCTAGCTAATGTAAAACAGCAGTTCACAGGCGGATCACATTTGTTTGTTTCAAGAGATATCTTATATATAATGGCTTATAAAAATGTTAAGGCAGCAAAGCAATGTGGAATTATTTAAATGTACACCAGTCAAATGAAATACAATAAAAACAACTAGGGATGCACGATATTGGTATTTTGGCCGATATCCGATATGCCGATATTTTAAAACTCAT